GTTTAGTTTAGTTTAGTTTAGTTTAGTTTAGTTTAGTTTAGTTTAGTTTAGTTTAGTTTAGTTTATTGTCATTGCACCTCGTACAATGAAATCAAATAGCTGCAGGGGCTTCACATTTCTTTCTGAGTGCAATTCAGAGTGCTGGCCCTTAGCCATAAAATCCTGAGTGGCAGGGGACTGGATTATATTGGGGGCCAGGGTTTTCCCTAAGTGAATCTACCTACGAGGTCAGGTAAGGTGAGTGTTCTCTTAGTACCTTCCTTTCAACATTACCACCTTATGGGAGCTAGGAAGTGGGCCTTCCTTGTGGCATCTCCCTACTCCATGGAACACCTGTCCCCCTCGAGTTCAGCAAAACTCCCCCCTTTCAGCCTTTGAGGATGTAACTATCCCCCGCCCTCCCTCCCAAGCACTGGGAGAATATTGTCTGATTTCAAATCAGAAATCTGATTTGGTGTCAGGTTTTGGTTTGTGTTCGATGTATACTATAGTTTCTGTGCCCTTTTAACTTTTGATTGGGAGTAGGCTATAAGATGGGTTTGCTATATAAGTGTTTTAAATAAATAAATAAAAGTGGTGGCCATCAGTTGCCAGGAGTGCAAGATCCTCATCCTTGCTACAATTGCATCATAGCTGCTTTCCCAACACCTTGGCTTACTTGTTTCTTTCTCAAGCTTAGCACAGAACTTTTTCTCCTTCTTTGAGTGATCAGGGTAGCCGTCTGCCCAGCGAATGTAGTTGGTTTCATGTCTGTTTATCCATACCCATTCATCATTCTGTAATGACAGGGAAACCATGTGAGCCAACTGAGGAAGAGCCAATTGAAGCTCTTCAGGGTCCAGATCAGAATGGAAAGTTGTCAGGTTTTAAGGGTCTCTCTCTCTCTCTCTCTCTCTCTCTCTCTCTCTCTCTCTCTCTCTCTCTCCATCTGCTCCCTCAATCTCAGTTGATCTGGAGCAGCTAAGGAGAATTACACATGGTGACTGTTCAGATTCTTATAGAGGGCTAGCATGGATTAAACTTGTACTCAATTGAGCAACCTTGGTTCCTGATTTCCTGTCCTGACAAATAAGTTGTCCCCAAAATAACACTTGTATTCACAAAGTCACCAGGAACTGAGCTCAATGAAAGGGAAATGTCCCTTCTTTCTCTATGATCAAGTGTCTTTCTGGAATTGAAAATGCAACAGAGCACAAGACTGTTGTGGTTTGCTGGCAGCCGGTGCTGACGGCAGTGGAGTTGGACAGTGAGGACAAAAGGGAACCAGTCAGGGAATCTGGAGAGGACATGGACGAGGGTCCTGCATACAATGCAGGGGTGGGGCCAGGACCATCTGGGAGTGGGGTGCTGATTCCGGAGCCTCCAGAGTCTGGCAGCAGCGAGGCAGAGGAACAAGGGGAGTCTGTTCCCAGTGTGCGTATGCGTAGGGCTGCTAGAAGGTGAGAGCAGCTGAAGCAGAAGGGGCGACTCAGGAGTCAGGTTGGGAGGTGGTTGCCCCTCCCATAAGGGATAAAAGTCAGACCTCAATGATGAAGAGCTTTGCAGGAAGCAAAGTAGTTCGATAGATTCCAAGTCCTCTTTGAAGCTCCGGTTGGTTTTTTCTGCTACTTTGGTTGGTTTCTGTTATAAGTGGAGACTTCTGTTTTGGGCAGCATTCCACAGCACTGAAAGGCATGTGCTTATCATGGGGAACTATTTATAATTAGTTCTGGGTGGGAATGAAAGTCATTCCCAGCATTGCAATAAAATAGGTTTTGCTTTTAAAACAAGTTTGCGTTTAAGTACGCTTGATGAAGCCTGGGTCAGGGCACAAGGCGTTCTGTTGGTAGCACAAATGAGCAATTTCCATGCAAAATAAATAAAGGGGAAGAAAAAACAACCCTCCCAGGTTGGGACTCGCAGTCCCAAAATTAATGACCCATTAGAGTTTCAGGAAGCTTTAGAGGTCATTCAATGGGCCCCAAAGAGGAAGGCAGTCTGAAGGAGGAGCTCTGTGTGAGAGATGGCCTTGATCCTGAGATGAGGGTTGGAGTAGAATCGGACCCTTGAGGGGCTTAAAGACAGAAGCCAATTCTTGGGCAGGAAAGGTTGTTGAGGGGCAGGAAAGACAGCATTGGGATAAATGGTATTTTTTCAGAGTTTTTGTCCAAGACAAAAGAGAGATTCCTTCCTCCCGTTGGACGATCCTTCAGAAAGCCCCATAAAATAGTAAATATAGATTTGTGAACATTAGCAACAGAAAGAGACCTACTTGTTTTGGATCATGCAGTCCAATCCAGACACATTGGCCACTTTTGAGGTTCTCTGCAACGTAGTCAGCCGTGTCAGCCGTCTGTATTGAGGTATGGATGGAGGCGAGGTGGCAGCCCGCCTTCTGTTTCGCACAGAACGCCTAGGAGAGAGCGACAAGGGAGAAGGACAAATGTGCCTGAGCGTGTCTTCGTTTGGGAAAGCGAGAAAAGAGCCAAGGAATCTGATTGCATGGTCCAAGTCTTGACTTCATTGACTCCCCTCAGAGGCTCTTAATAGAATAACAGTATTGGAAGAGACCTTGTAGGTCATCTAGTCCAGCCCTGTGCCCAAGCAGGAGACTCTGCGCCATTACTGACAGAGGTCAGTCTAGCCTCTTCTTGAAGGCCTCCAATGATGAAGCTCCCACAACTTCTGAAGGCAACTTCCGTTTCGTAGGTTGATGGTTCTCCCTGTCAGAAAATTCCTCCTTATTTCCAGGTTGAATCTCTCCTTGGTCAATCTCTCCTAGATCCTGCTCAGCACTGCCCAACAGATACCAGCCATGAAAGCCCAAACCAGTATACAGTCCAGAGAATACTTGCATTTCCTAAAACAATGGTCTTTGCTACCTTTTCATGCGGACAGCCTACTGGTTCTCCAGTACAGCCCAGCCAGAGGGGGCTTGAGGGGCTGTGCATGGCTCTCCCTAGACTTCTCCCCTGCCTGAGCTAGGAGATTCACAGACACACAAGCACTTCCAACCTCTGCATCATCCCAGGTCTTTTCTTCCTTGAAGACCTTGTAGCAACGTTGATTTCTGAAGTACCATTCTTTGAGACAAGGGTTTTGGGCTCCTGTGTGGGAAGAGAGGAACAGTGAGAAGATGGCCAAGAGAGCAAGGGAGGAGGAGGAGGAGGAGGAGGAGGAGGAGGAGGAGGAGGAGGAGG